ATGCTCAAATGGAAGTGAATCTGTGATTGCATTTTAAGTTATAACTCCCGGGAAAAATCTCAAGTTCTGGCAGCCCTGACTAGTTCCCTTTCACTTCAGCATAATGCAAACACTGTCTTACACAAAATATTTATTTGCCATCCTGAAGTTGTGTTAAGGACATGGTTAACTCAAGTATGCTGTTACCCACTTATTTTTTAGGTATCTCCTTTAGTAGTTTTCTAGTATGAATAGATTTTCACTGGGCATGTCCACACAGTATGTCACAGGCAGAAAAAAGTTTATAGAGCCTCTAATTGCACAGAGACACCTGGATTCTTAGACTCTGCCCCTCAGCAGATTTTATTACCATTGACAGGACAAACTTAAGGCTACTTGAAACTGGCCATTTGCATCTGCTCAGTTTATACCCCAAAAGAAACTGTGCTGTACCTCAGCAGAAATTCTCATGATACATTAAGAGTCTTCTGTTGGAGACAACCCCAAATTACTTTCCTCCTTCATTTGCCCTATGGGAAACATCTTTAGATATTTTGCAACTTTGTTTTTACCAGTACTCTCCATAACTGAAAGATTTTTCAGTTATCTCCAAACACCATGTTGAAAAACAAAAGCCTTGGTGCCACAGCTCTAAAGTATCCAGCATTGCTTATATACTTTCATTATTCAGTTACTTAAATTGCATACTGTTCTTTAAACCTGAAAAGAAATCTTTCCAAGTCAGAGGTCTTAAAATCCCACTATAAGATACTCACATAGTCTGATGACTATTTGTATTAATGAAGGAGCCAGCATTTTTAATAGCTCCCAGAAAACCAACAGAAGCATTTGACATTGATTCTAGTTTTAGAATGGAGAAGTGGATTCAATGGATTCAAGTTAAACTGGCTTGAATTCTTTACAAGTTTGGTCAAGTGGGTAACTGCTCTGTCAATAGAGTACTTTGAGAGAACATGCATTTTATTCTGAAAACATGAGCTTTAAGTAATGACATTTAAGTTATTTCAAAAGACAGTATACAAGTCAGACTTGAGAATTACTCCTGCTACATAGCCAGAGGCCAGCAAACACCCACAGAAAACACCTGTATTAACTTCTGCACTTCTACCAATGAACTGGAGCATTGACCCTGTGAAACTACTCTGAACAGTTAAAAACTACGTGCACATCTGATAGGAACACTGTTTCTTCTTTAATGTGTTTATATTTATATATACACATACACATCAGCAACTGGACATTAGCTGGACAAATCTCATGTAACCCCCCTTTGATCATTACCTACCTCACATGTAATCTAATTAGTGGGCAAACAGTTGAAATGTCAGTTTCTTTTAATCATTCTGTTTTCATACCTGCAAACCACCACATAAAGGATTTTCTTTTCATAAATCCATGATAACAGTAAATATGAAAGACATCCTTTTCTTAAGAGAATAGCACTTTTCTCCTTAGCAATCCATAATTAAGTCTGTCAAAAGTAACTAACTTATAGACCTGTTAGCTGCCTCAAACACAAAATAGAAAGCATTTACCTCTCAGAAGACCAAAAGTAATTGAGGCAAAGGAATACAGTCCTGCTTAAATCTTCAAAACTGCACTCTCCAAAACTCAAGACTAGTTTCAGAATACAAGATCAAATTTGGGCATATACCAGTTCTCATCACTTACAGAAAAAAACACTGCACTGACTTCCTGCATTAAAGGCTTGTCACCAGAATACTTATGTCACACAATATTAATGGAACCCCATACAGTTGATTTCCATAGCAAAGAGTTAGCAGGCATTTGCATTTCTGTACAAGTCTACAGAAGTAGCCTGAGTTACCTCAAAGTTCAACAGCAAGATAAAAATCACAAGGGCTCAGGATGACTCCAGCACTGCCAGAGATCATCTTCACTTCGAAAAGGCTGACCCACAACATTAGGAGAACAGATTTGTGATACGCAAATCAAATACACACATTCTTCTACTAAGAAACATTTGATATTCTTTTTTACTACAAATGTATAAGATAAACACCTAGTCCTCAAGTCATCTGAATTTTAACTGTGTTTTAAGACATGGCTTAATTAACACCTAAGAAAAGCACCAAAAATATCTAGACACCCAGCTGACATGTCTCCCTGATTCTACTTGAGAACCTTCTGTGCTAACTTAGAGACAGTGACTAATTGCTTTCAGCATGTGTTTTTGCATGAAACCATCACATCCAAGATTTTCTCCTAAGAAAGATAGCTGAAATAGAAAGATAACTGAATAGACCTTTCTGTCCCAAACCAAATAATCACTCCGATCTCTCAGGAATTAAGCAAAAGCACAAATACCTAAAACCTAAAAGCAGTATTTACCAAGAGAATAATGTTTGTCCACATTGGCAATGATTTTGGTAATGCCACTCTTCTGTGTGCAGAACTGACACTGACTTCTATCAAATCAATGGAAATATACAGAAATTTAACACCATCTGCTATACTAACATTACTTTAAGAGGTAATGTTCTCCTAACATACCATCTTATAGTTGAAAAACAGAGTATATTATTTCTGACATACTTTTCCAGTAGCCAATTCTGAAGGCAATTTATCTAGACAACTTACTGATAATATTATCTGCAATAATGTTAGTCTAGAAATATTTTTTTTCTACTGATTTGTTTACCCTTTATTTTTTATTTAATCCAAGGAAAATTTAACATCTTTAACAAGACCTGTTTTCAAATACTGTTAATAATACTTTCCATCCAACTTGGGATAATCCTGAGGCAATTTAAGAGAACCACTTGCTGACATAAGCTACACCAAAAAAAAGTTAACATACTGAAGATAAACCAATTAAATGTTACATTTCTACAATCGAAAAAAATCTAACAGCTACAAAATTTTATAAGATCTTTAGCAGTAAACTTTCTTTCTTTTTTTTTTTTCTTTTTAAAACTGTAGCCTGAAAAAACAACACACACACAAGGAGATATCCTCATGGAGATATCAGGGGAAAAATACAGAAAACTTCATGAGCATTACTAAGTCAGAAGGAATGGAACTTGTCACTCTGTACATCATAATGCACTTTATTGTTTATTATTAATTACTTCTGATTGAGCTGCAATGATCTCAACTTTGGAGTTTTACTGAACACAAGATTCATGTTTGTATTGTTGAACTACTGTTGACAATGCTATCAATTTCTCCAGTTCTTAAGCTGCCTACAGTCACAGATGAGAGGCAGAAATCTCTATATACAGAAAAAAGTTTAAAACAAAGCAAAAAGCCTCACACCTTCACATGTAAACTATCCAGGGTAATTTCTGACACAAGATTTAGCAGAAGGGTACCTCACTATTCTTTATTTAGTACAATGTAAAACAGAGAGAGAAGTTACCAACTTTTTGAACAAACCTCAGACACTCAAACCCATACTTGGAAAAAGTAGATCAACTAATTACACGTTACTGGGCAGAAATATTTAGGTAAAACATGTTACCATTCCAGTAGGAAAAATCCTCATTTAAAACTTTTATTAAACTAATCCTTTCATCAGTCACCTTCATCAGAACAGAAAGTAAGAATACAATAAGTTTATGCAGGACACACAATCCTATGTAATTCGATCTGTAATAAATGTAACTTCAATAACTCTGTATACCAATACACAAGAATTATTTTACGTATTTTTTTTGCAAAGAGCACATGATATGCATCTGAAAAGATCAAGGTAATCCTGCCCCTTCCCACAGTTTCATCAGTAGTCAAATTCAAAACTTGAAACTTTAGGGTTTTTTTTTTTTTTTTTGTAGGAACAGCTTTAAGCTGTTCAATTACTTCATGAGGGACAAAAATCCTCTTCCTAATTAAGATCAAGTATTCCATAAAGAAATTGCTTAAAAAAAACTTTTTCAAATGCAGTAATCAATTGTGCATGGATCATTTTCTAGGTCTTTAACTTCTCCCACCTCTACCACAGGTTGCACTAAGCACCTTCTCTCCCCTGCTTCAGGTCATCACAGGCTTCAACTAGCCTAGCCAGGTAGAGAGAAAAAAGGCATAACCACCTACTCGTTTAGTAGCCAAGTTGCAAAAAGATTGAAGGCAAAAAACTTTGTGCTTTCACACAGCCCACACACACATTAGCATGAAATATCAAACTGTATTTTTGAGTGTCACTTACTGTTTATTCTGCTTAATGACTCTTTTTATTCCTTTTATTTTTTTGGTATAGAGAATTGATACTTTTTATATACATTGATCAAAATATGCAAGAGCATATTCCCAAATATTATTTGGGAAATAAATTCATGTACTCTATTGGAGCTAGAACTACCTTCCATAGAAACAGACATATTAGCATTCTAGTATGGTAATCTATTAAACTGTTAAGTAGCAGACAAAAAAGTGTCATATATACTTTCAATTGCAAGCTACTATACAATCAAATTCTACCAACACACACAGTGTACAATTACACCACAAAGTCTTGTTTTCATGGGTCAAATTAAAGTTGCAGAGCTGCCTATCACAGGAATAACACAATTATTTCTTATTAGTTGATTGAAATAAAAAACTAGTGTAATGAAACTTAGCAGCTGTTCTCCCCACTTAATCAGCTAAAATACGTAAAAATTTCAAGGAATGCTTCTAGACTACACAGTAGGCATTCACACCCTCAAAGAACCACAACTGGTATGGCTTACTGCCATTAGAACAGGAGTCTATATATATCACAATAAAAACAAGCCTTAATATTACAATTAACTGTGAAATGTGCTCTAGATCTGCAAGATGGAATTAAGAAAAGCTATCACGGATAATGCCTCTGGAAATATTGCTACCATTGTAATTATTTGCTAATTAAATTTTCTTTAGGAGGTGTTTCACCAGTTACCTGCCACATCTGCTGTTGTTGTAGGTTAAGTTAACTGCAAGTACAGCTAGAGTTGTCACTTTTCCAGAGACAGAGTTATTAAAAATTCAAGATGGCTAAGCAGAGATTCCAAACATACCCCATGGCTCCACTTATTATATTTAAAATGACATGAGGGAATATTATAACTGCTGCTCTTTGATGCCTCCACAATAGGGGAAAAAACGCAAAATATCCATAAAGACAGTAGATGCTATTTCCCTACCATTCTTACTCCAACACACAAAATAAGGTATAATTTCCCTAAAAGCTTTTGAGCAGAGTACCAGCACAAGGCATTCAATACAGAAAGTGGCAGTATTACTAATAATTTTTGCTCCCAGCTCCACCAGAATTTCAGTTGGCAATATGCAATAGTCCATTCCTAATGAGAGGCAGTTCCTCGGAACCAAAAAACAAACCAACAAAATACCACTGGGCCTTGTGTGAAATAGCCTTTCATACACCACCAGCAGGAACTCAGCACTCACCTGATGTTTCACTTCAGGCCACAAAATGAATAGTGTTGCCATAAAATTTTCACACATTGCCAGTCTGCCACTGAAACATCTTCCTGGCTAAAACTAGCAAGTGAATAGAACCACAGCCAGAGAGAGCGCCATACATTTCAGAACCAAACTAATTTTTATACTCATTTTCACTACTTTGACCATTGCTGTTGCCTAATAATAATCCGCCACAGCAAGGGAGGGGAAAGTCTTTTTGGTGGCAATGAACAAACTGGTTTTACCAATAGGTTTGGAATAGACAACTAGAAATATCCACCTATTCCACTGCCCTTTTTGAGGAATAATCCCTAGGATAATGATCAGTTACAGGGTCACGAACAAACTCATGGCAAGAGCTAGGTTTTTTTTAATAATTAAAAAAAAAAAAAAAAAAAAAAGGAACAGCATACATTTTCTAAACATTTCCAAGGGGCATCACACATTAAATTCCTCAAAAACAGCTAGAAAGGTTTACAGGCTCCTCCCCTCCACTTTACTTAGTTAAAACCCATATTTTCAGTTGGAATCCAAGCAGTATCTCCAGAAGGTAATTCCGGATTTGGTAGCAGCAATAGAGGACACCTAGTGGTGTTTGCTGTTAACTTCCATACAAAAGGCAAGCCAAACTCATCAGTGTAGGCTGCTGCAACAGTAAGCATTTACACAATCCATGTTTTCTTCCTCTGAAAAGCATTTTAAGTGAAATAGAATTTAAAAGACTGTAAGCACAGGGGTGTATTTAAACCAAACAATATAATACAGGTTTGGATTCCAGATGCTGCCACTACCTTACGAAAAAATTACCCTGGATATAGTTAATGATGGTTACAAACACCACAGCTATTAACTCCTCTCTTATTAGGAGACCACCACCTCCAACAACCAATGCTATAGAGCAATACAACAAGCTCTCACATACTGAAAAAGTACACAAACTCAGCAGCATTGCTGGAGGCAGCACAAGAAAGGTACTTCATCACCATGCAACAAACAGTAGTTCTGACACCATGGAAAAGACCCACATAGAAGCCTACTGCCAAGTTGTCAAACCCACTCACCAATTTATTGATTTTAAGTTCTCTACTAAGTTAATGAGGACAGTTATTTTAGCTACAAATCAGGATATTGGTATTAAGATAGCTTTGTAAACAGACAGAGACCATTTACGTCTTCTCTGGACTCCAAGCGCATAGAGAACATGCTAGAAACAAACCAATGCTTACAAGATTAGCTTTCAAATTTTGTGGGGGATATAAATATCTCCCACAAAAGTGGCATAAACATTCAAGTTACCAACTTTTGTCATATTCTCAGTAAAAAACATTCTGAAGTAAAAAGGCAGGAAGTACACAGGACAATTTTTTAATCTTTCTTTATACAAATCCAAAGCATAGAATCAGAGTCAATATGCTAAGTGAAGCGAATTTATTAAATAATAAAAAAAAGTAGTTTTTATCTTTTGAACTAGTACTGTCTACAGAAGAGGAAGTCTTATTCCCTATCCTGGTTGCAATACAACATATGTGCTAAAACACATTAGTGACCCGATTAAAAAATAGGAAAAAAGTTAGTTTTTACCCACATCATTTTTCCAATCTGTTCTCATATGTAGCCACGCAAACACCTACACTAGTGCAAGCAGATAGAAAAAACAGCTCCCTTCAACAGCAGTGCTGCCTGAAAGTGTAAATCAAACTAAGACCTTCTGGTGTTTGCAGATTTTCTTACCCAAGTTAGCAAAGCAGAACTTAAACTGAAAAACACATTTTAGCCCAAGTTAAAACTGGTATGAGACAAATTAACTCAATTAACTCAAAATTAACTCTTCCATTAGAAATATAACCATTTAAAAGTCATAAGAGATGCAGGAAACAGACTTAACTTATAAAGCAAAGAGCCAATTAACAAAGTACACTGAAGAACAAGCTGTAAGAAAGATGAAAACCACAGCCTTTAAAATATATGAAAAAAAAACAACTTACTTGCAGGTCTCAAGTAAAGTGCTTGGGGATAGTCAAGTAAGGATTCAGATGAGCACTTCTGCAATATACTGAATGACCTTATTCCCAAGTTTGGGGCAAAAATGCTCCAAAGAGTTTATCTTTTCACAGATACTGTTTTTGGCCTTAACTTTAAATATTAGTTAATGAACTGCCTTCTGAAAGCTTATCCTTCTGGTCCTTTTCAGAAAGGAACTTATCCCTTTTTACTTATTCAGACTTGTTCAGGATCAATAGAATCAATTCTCTCTTATAACAAAAGGAATTTCATGAGCTTCTGCCATTTATAACTTTCTGCAACTTGGTTAAATTAGCAAAAGTCAAGGCCAAGCTACTGAAAGGTATTTCAGAAGTATTTTTTGAGCTCTAGCTTTCTAACAAACATGATATATCCAGCATAGCGCATAGAAGCGTAATGCCCTTCTCCTTAACTTCTCCTTAACTATTATTTCCAATTTAGACACTTTATTTTAAATTGATGAACTCAGAAGAACCAAAAAAAGACTCAGAAATACATTGAATAATAAATTATTTCCTTAAATCTTAAGTTATATTGAAAAAAGTCTTTCCTATCCAACTACAATCTACATCGCGCAATATAAAACTTGGCTTCATTAACATTTTTTTATTTCATTAAATCCTTTACATATATAAAGCTTTAAATTATTTAAACACTTTCATGAATTTGTTTTATGCACCTTTTCTTACATATGATTCTAGTAACAAACCACTGCTTTCCCATTTTCTTGATTAAGTGAAATTTATTACATAAAATTAGGAAAAAGCTTTTTCCTAAGTTAGCAACTACCTACAAAGAATGAAAAAAAATAATTTTCAAAAAACTACTCAATAAAAAATTGTAGATACCTTACAGCTTTGCTACAATACTTTGCAGGTAGTAACAAAAGAAAAACATGGCCTATCTCCTAACAGTCATCTATGCCATTTTTCTCAGCTTAGATTAAGTAATCAAATCAGATTGTTTAGTCATCAGACAGGTGGTACCACTTACAGCTGAATGCAATGAACACACCCACAATTTAGAAGTATATATTGAGAAAAGGAATATTTAATCTAGCTGGTTATGAAGTTGCTGTATTAGTAAAACCAGTTGAAAACTTATTTGATGTCTATTCTTAAGTAAGTCATGTTTTATTCTACTTTTTACCCCAATATTTTAGTTAGAGTTAATAAATTTTAAAAATGGAAAACATAGAATAACAAAATTATGCTTAACAAGTTGCTGTATTAGTAAAACCTGTAGAAAACTTATTTGATGTCTATTCTTAAGTAAGTCATGTTTTATTCTACTTTTTACCCCAATATTTTAGTTAAGGTTAATAAATTTTAAAAATGGAAAACATAGAATAACAAAATGTATGTTGTTCATCTCTCCCAAAAGTAAGTATTTAAACTAGAGACTTTAGACTCTTTGTTATTCCAAGAGGCAAACTTGAGAAGGATAAAAGTCCACTTTATGGCAATACTTGCAGTATTTATGGAAGCTTTTATATTATTTGTAAACAATAGTAAGATTTTTCTCTTGTTTTAGGTCTTTTCTTCTAATGTTCTTAGTTACATGATTCTTTATCAGCAAAAACATAATACAGCACTATTTTCTCTAGTAAAAACTATCAAAGTACTTAACAGGTTTTAGGCAAATATGTAACTGCAATGAAGTCAGCAGGCCTAATCATTTACTTGAAGTTTAGCAGACGCATAAGATTTTGAAAGATGCTATTGTGTTCCTCACAGTGTTATATAGTGTAAAAAGGGTATTTTTCAAGCCATAAAATGAAGATAAAGTGAGAACTGTGAGAAAATAGATGAAGGGGTACAAAAAATAAATGCTTCATATCCATAAGGATTTTCTTTAAACATTTAATACTCTGAGTCTGAATAAATGTTACTTAGGACTGGAAAATTACCACTAAGGCTCAGTGAAAGACTCCCTAAATGGATTGTGTGAGACAAGCTCAACAGCAATGACTAAATGATCCAGGCTTTCTTTTTTGCTCAGCCTGTGAGATGCGTGAAACCCAGGACCCATAAAAATCCTGAGGGAAGCTGAAAATCATTGAAGAAAATAAACACACACACACACACACACATAGAGGCATAAATAAATAAGGAAGGGGAAAAAATAATTGTCAGGGGGATGTAATGCTGCAGTTACCTAAGGAACAGAGCTAAAAGGTCGGGAAATGCAACAGGTCAGCAAGGCGGCACTGGCCGCCGCGGCACAACATGGCGGAGCCCCATGAGGGGAGGCGATGGGCTGTGGCAAGAGCGGGAAGACGCGGGGTCCCAGACCGGCCGCAGCCGGTTCGAGCCGGTCGCAGCTGGACAGCGGCGCCTGCGCCGCCCTGGCGGACCGGGCGGCAGGCGGCGC